AGTTATGGGAAGTAAGTGGGCACTATTTCCAACTAAGTCAGTCATCCATTTGGAGGGATTTCAAATGGCCACAGATTCTTTAACACACTTCCCGATGAGAGGGAGTGTGAGGGTAAACTCTGTGATTGCTTGCTCAATATAATATGGTAGAAGGGACCTTATGCCAATTTCCAGATCCAGGTTAAGACCACTACATTTCCTCACTTTTGAAACACCACTTCTGGGATTTTTCAACTCCATGTGGACAGGCTGAGAGGGTCCAGCTATGCCCAGGTTTCCAGTATTCCTGTCAAGGCATCAGCCATGGGAAAGAAGAACCCATCTTAGACATAGATCCTTCTAGCTTCAGTTGCTGTGCCTGAGGCCACATGGAAAAGAGACTACCTGACTCAGTTTTCCCAATACCTAGCCAACAAAACTGTGAGCAAAGTAAAATGATGGTTTAAGCCATTACCTTTTGGGGTGCTTTGCTTGGCAGCAGTGGATAACTGGTATGCCTATCACCAATGGCTCCTATCTGTTATCAGCATAAACTCTGGAATCAGACTGCTTGGATCTGAGTCCTGCTTCCAAGTAGCCTTGTGACCTGAGACAAATTGTTTAAATTTTCTTTGCCTCTGTCCAACTCACATCCTTTCTATAGCAGGGCATTATCCTGATTTATTAAAGTTACTGGTACCTCTCCTTGGAACTTCTCGAGGTGGTATTCATATTTATCCAAACATTGGTGCTCTGAATTTGTGCTGCACAACCATTTAATGCTGGATATATACTAGTGACAGTCATGCTTTGTGTTAATTCCACCAGTCGCAGTTTACTCAGGTTTGCCTAGCTCCAGGAGAGTTGGCTCAAGATAGCCATCGAGGGCACTGTTGTTTTGTCTCTCGAGTACCCCTTCTCTCTCTCTGCAACCCATGGATCTCTTTCTTGGGATGAATAAATTCTGCATGTTCTGAGTAAAACTCAGAAACCCCTGGCATGTGATCAAGATAAATGAATGTTTCTCCTAGGGATTTTATGACACAGCCATTGTCAGAGACTCACTTTGTCAAGGTTGCTGATCCAATGGGGTATAAATTTAGGTGCCCACTGGTCATCTTTTGTATTATTTGGGGAAAGTCTGCCAAAGAATAGAATGTATTTTAAAATAGCTAAAGAGCCAGCCCCCCAATTAATCTAAGGAAATTAAAATTTGGCTGCAAAAATTTATTACAAATCAGATTTTAGAGCATTACTATCCAGGTATAGTGTGATGACATGTCTTGAACTGCTGGGGCATCTGCCTAAGAATGAAACATGGGAAATCAGAAAAACAGATCTAAGAAAGAAGGGATAGACAGAAACCCCACAAATATTATTCAAGATCCTGGGTCCAGCCATGCCCAAATATAGGCAATAGTTCTAGGCTTCTTGTTACATGATCCAATAAATCACTGTTCCTACACACCCCCTTTTACCCCTCTAGTTAATTCAAGTCAAGTTGTCTGAACAATTGTCTGCAGGTACAAAGGTATCCTATAATATGTAATGCCTAAGCTGAGTCTTAATGGGTGAAAAGGAATTTGTCAGGTAAAATGAGGATGGTGACTGAGGTGAGTAAGATCTTCCAGGCCGAAGGAAGGTGTAAGAAAAGATTTGGGGGAGAAAATTTCTGAAAATATCTACACAAAATAACTATACAATGAGCACTGTCATCAGCTCAGGGTCTTCACTTAGAAAAATACTGCTCTAGAGTGGCCAAAATTAATTTAGAAACAGACTGTGGCCTTCTGAGTAAAATCCACACAATAATAATGAGTTGGGAAAATATTAGCTCCTATTACTCACTTAACAGTCATCTGGGATGAAGTTGTAAGTATGGTAGTCACAGAAGAAATGACAGAAATAGTATCTTTCCTTTAATAAGAAGTTGGGTGAAATCGATCACATTTACTGTATGCGCTTCCTTTAGAATGACTGAAAAATAAGGTGTTTCTGTATAATTGCTTATGAGTAATGGAATTGTTTTCACCTGAGCTCTGCCATGCCACAAGAAAAACACATACCAACTTTAATACAGCTGGTAATTAAAATGAATCTTCTACATAACATGCTCAGTGATTTTAAAGCCATAGGAAATTTGAACACATCATTCTTCTAGCTTGAAATGAATCCTTTTCTTCTCTTTTTCTAGGTAGATTTTCCCATTTCAAATTCTCTTCCCTCCAAATTGTCACTTTTGAAGACTACAACAGAATCAAGACATCCTCTTCAGATGTCTGTCTGGTATATGAAGTACTTATTGTCTCTTTATGAAATTAGTTGGAATTGCTACTTGACTTTGGGTTAATGTTCTCCTTGGGTGGAGCATCTGGGGCTAAGTAGGGCTTCCTTACCCTTTCTGATCCCTTGTCTACAGAGTATTTCTGTAGATAATTCCACAGGAGTCCCACCAACACACCTCAACCCTTTAGAAATTTTACCTCCTGGAATTGTAGTTTCAGTTATTGAAAAATTACTCTGTGATGAACTACATTTGGCTATTTCATGTATTATGAACTACTCCAACTTCAGTAGGTTTTAATAGGTCTCTTCGGTAAGTCCTAGGTAGGACTTGCCAGAGTCTTTAATATGCTTCTGTTTCTCTTAAAAAGGAGAATATACTATACAGCTTCATATATCATCTTTGACCTGTTTTCCATGTAATATATTCAGAAGTAATAGACTCCTTGGTTTTCCAGAGGAAGATGTCTTACTCTTCTGTTATTGCTCAACAAGTAACTTCTATAAATGTCTGTTTTTCTTCAGATACCTATTTCTCTTGGGAGGCAGACTATGTCAGGCTCCTCATTTTACAAGAATAAACAATCCTGACCATGCAATGTGTGCTGTGGTCTTCCAGTTCTTACCTATTCTTAATTTTTTTTTTAAATTTTTTTTAAATTTTTTTTTTTATTTTTTAATAGAGGCATGTTTTTATTTATTTATTTGTTTGTTTGTTTGCTTGTTTATACATGCACTGGGTACAGTCAGAAGCGCGGGAGGGTGAGAGAATTCACCAGAGCCAGAGCGAGGAGCAGAGCAGGCAGAAGGACCGAAGTACACTGCTGAGGGGAGCAGCGGGCGGCAGGAGAGGTCTGCACCATGTGGGACCCTCCTCTGGTGGCCGGGGAGCAGCCGGGGATCGAACCGGCGCTGCAGAGGCCGCGGGCAGCTTCGCAACCCAGCGCTCAACCGCTGCGCCACCGGGGAGGCCCTCTTACCTATTCTTTAGGATGAATCAGCAATTAATATTGAAGGAATTAATTTTACTCAATATAAAATTTTATAACTTCCGTCATCTATGAGAAGGATTTTTATCCCCTCTGAAACATTAATTTGAAAGGAAACAAACTTTTTTTCTTGCTGAACTTCTTCTGTCATATTTGAATACAAGCCTAGTTTCAAGCATAGTAATTTATACCATCACTTAACCTACAACAGAATCAAGGCCATCCTCTTTGGATCCATGCCTAAGTTTACTACCTTGTCTAGATACTACTTACTGTCTCTCTATGAAATTAACTTAATTACAACTTAAATATGTAGAGATGTACTTACATTTTTAAACTGTTGTCATGGACAATGATTTCTGTCCCTGTATTTGGAAATGCCCGAAAGACTGTTCATTTCTTTCTTTTTTCCTCACAATTGTAATTTTAGGAGATGTAATGTAGGGAGTGTGGCCCATGGAGCAAGCCCAAGTTGGGTTTGAGTACGTACTCTATCTATTTGAACTTTGTGAATTTGGAAAAGGTTGTTTTCTTTCTGAACCTTAATTTCTCCACCTATAAAATTGGAATATTTATACCCATCGGCCACACTGTGACCTTCCTCTCTCTTTTTTCTTTGCAAGTTAAAATGCAAGATGATCCAAAGTAAAGTTATTAAACAAAACACGAAACCAAACACACACACACACACACACACACACACACACACACAGAGTCAAGTTTTTACCCTGAGTCCATTTATTGCTCACACTGTTTGAAATTCTGCTTCCCTCTGTCAGGAAGACTTCTCTCCCCAAACCAGTCTGTTTTCTGTTCAATTCAGTACACAGACCTTTCCTGGATGTCTTCCTTTTGGTTTTTCTGCACAAATGACATCCACATGCAATATATATCTTGTGAATATTTTGGAAGTTCCTTGATCAATCATGATCTGAGATAAAAACTTTGCATTTTTTGGGTACAAATTGATTAAGCTTGCCAAAGCTGGGTCTTATCTGCCCAGTAGTCTCTGAGATACACCTTGGAACAACCTTAACTGTGAAGGGCAGCAATAGAAATTTATTCCCTAAATCTTTTTCCATCTATTATCACTGAATTCCTGAACCACCCCCGCTATTTTGTATCAAGGAATTTATTTCAAGTATAGAAAATTTAAAACATACAAAGCAGAGATAATAATAGATGTCCCATATATCTTGCATTCAGTTTTAACAACTACCAGTTTATAAGAACTCTTGTCTCACCTGTATTGTCCACTTCTTCTTCACCATTGAATTATTTTGGGACAAATCCAAGACATCATTTCATCTATGAATATTTCAATAGCTATGTTTTAAAATGACAAAGGCATCATATGAAAGTATAACTACAGTGCAACTATCACATCTAAAAAATTAATAATTTTTAATATTATGTCAAAAACAAGACCAAATGGGTAGTAGTTGAAGCTTATGACTGAGTCATGCAGAATGGGAAAATATTAATGACTTACACGTTGAGCACAGTGTGGTCACTGATGTTTCTTTGAGATCAAGAAGGTTCTCAAAGGACATCTTGCAGGGTGGGCTGGTTTTCTGAAAGGACAACAAAAGTATTAAGAATGACTGTTTTGGAATTTGGAATTGGAATTCAAGAGAGGAGGGATGGAAATTTACTTTCTATTTTACCCCTCACTACTGCTTACTTTTTCTACCCCTTATCTTTTGCACATCAAATGTTAAATCTGTGGAAACAATAAGGAGGAGAGGATTTTACATTTGTGATCTTGACCTTCACCCATATCTGAAGATGAGAAGAATCTAGCAAATTCTACCATGAAAAGGAAAGGTTGAAGTCTATGGAGTGACCATATTGTTTAAACTCCCCCCAGAAAAGATTACAGGAAGCTGCGTGTTTCTTGGTACTTGAAGACACATTGGTTGTGCTACCATTATGACCCTCTTACTAATGTTACTAATCTATATATCATCAATAGAAGATTTGATAGATTTGCTGCAGTATGAATTCCGGACTCAAACTGGAGAATCAGGACATTTATGAGAGTATCAGTCATTTGGAAAACTAACAGCAAGGCAAAAGGAGAGAGCTTCAAAGTAAGTCCAAAGTGTGCTACTGACAACCAATAAGTATCCCCAAGTGGCAACATTTCCTATCAAAATGTGACAGAAGTTCTCTTTTTAGAAAGGTGCCAAGTTAATTAGCACCTTATAGGACCTTGTTAAAGCTCCGAACGACTTTCCATCTGCTGATAATTTAATCGTTATACATGTGACACAAGGAAATCGAGCTTCACATTCTGTTACATAATGTAAATCGACAGTCAGTGAATGCTGCTCAATAGCTTGATGTCATTAATAAGGTAGTTTCTTAAACTCATAACAAATATCAAGTTGTTTTCTCAGTAGGTTAAAAAAATTGACCCACCACATGTGGCAGTTTTGAGACATGAAACAGACATGAGGCATGCAGTGCTTCCAGAAGTGGTGAGCTGCTGATAGAGAAGATCGTGTAGCCACTGATCTTTCTTTAAGGTTAAGGTTCTAGAAGGACACCTGCAGTGTGGGGCGAAGGTCACTATAGATACTGCTTTCCCAGGTTGTCTTTAGCTATTGACTGGACATGAAGGAAGGATCCTGCTCCTGCTCCAGTGGCTTCTTCCTGAGATGGTGCCATGTTGGGATGAGGAATGGGGTGCTTTGTGAACAGACCTGCAGACTGGCCTCCTGTTACATATCCATAGCCTTTCAGATTTGGGTCAAGGGATCCTTTCTGGTCTGAACATTCTGGGAGCCTCTTAGGTTTGGTGCCCTGGGAGAGCAGCTGAGGGAGTGAACTTATAACTAGGGCATAGCATGAACCATATCCTTATTCTGATCACCAATCTAGGCAGCTGGAGAATACTCACCCAGAGCCAGCCTGCATGGCCAACTCTGAGGCCTCAGGAGGGGGGCTTTCTTTTCTACTTGTCTGCGCAATGCTGTTCTAGTACTCAGTATTGCCTGGAGTCATTGGCATCTCTACATCTGTGACTTAGATTTTCCTTTCAAACATCCTGCTGTATGTACGCAAGGCTGAGGTAGGATTATGTTTAGAGATAAAACAAAAAGCCATAGAAAGCAGTTAAAAACAAAAAAGCAAGTCAGCCACCAAAACAAAGAGGAGGCAGGGGCTGGAGGTAGCAGCAAGGATCCTAACTGTAAATGTTTGGGTTGGATGGAGCAGACAGGCCGACCCTATTCTCAGGGTGATCAGTGAGTGGTCTTGAGATGGCAAGGTTCTTGAAGATCTGAGGACAAGTGTCATACATGAATGAAGACTGGACCTGAGGAGGGGTGTTTGGAGAGTGGGGATTGGGGCAGCATCTTCTCATGAATGGGGGTTCTCAACTAAGATTCCTAAGACAGAAAGTCCCAGAGGAGCTTGTCTGGGTTATAGTCCTCAGGGTAAATCCCTCACGTGGGTAAGTTGAGGTTCACTTGGGCAACAAGGTGAGGGACAGAAGTGGCATTATTGCCAGTTCAGCAGCTCGAAGGGGTTTTGGGTCATCAGTGAAGAAAATGTGTCATAGTCTGGTCTATAAAGTGCAAAGAATGGGGCCTCCCCGGTGGCACAGCGGTTGAACTCTGGGCTGCGAAAGCTGCCTGCAGTCTCTGCAGCACTGGTTTGATCCTCAGCCGCCGGCGAGTGTCCCACATGGTGCGATAGACCTCTCCTGCCACGCCCGCTGATCCCCTCAGCAGTGTATTTTGTCGGTCTGCCTGTTCTGTTCCCCGCTCTGGCTCTGGTGAATTCTCTCACCCTCCCACACTTCTGACTGTACCCAGTGCTCACATAATTAAAGAAATTAAAAAAAAGTGCAAAGAATGAACCAGAATAGTGCTTGGTGTGGTAGATAAATGTCTCTGTAATATAAATAGTCTCTAGATCTAGTGTTTTCTGTGTTCTTGGAGTACTAAATTGCCTAACTTATAATGTGTGTTTTTCCTCCTTCTTTAGTAAATAGATACATGATAATTATACAAAATCAGAAGGTACAGTAGATAATAAAAATAAAGAAAACACAGTAAAAAACCCACAAATATTCTATTATGTCCGAGCCCGCGGACTGGTCAACGAGGTTCTTGAGGGGAGAGCAGCGACCTGAAGAACAGGGGTACACCACGGAGGGAGACACGTGCACTCTTCGTTCAACTACCGCAGGTCTCGTTTACTTTCGGTTTCGGCAGGGCTTTATAGCTGGGGACGGGAAGCGGAAGAAGCAGGCCAACAGTGCCTAGCCAATGATCAAACACATATACGGATCGCCAGAGGCCGTCATGCGCACTGGGCCAAAAGAAGCTAATCCCGGAAGGGCACATGCCCTTATTTGGTGCCCGGAGGTCGTCATGCGCACTGGGCCAAAAGAAGCACAGCCAATCACAGAAAGGGGGAGTATCCTGATGCCACGAGGTAAGGCGCCAACACTATTACATAGATAAATCATATGAATTTGATATAGATCTTTCTTTTTTCTTTATATATCTCATCACACATATGTTAATATGTACATGTATAAAAATGTTCTATTTTATATCATAATTTTCCTCCTTAATAGTGAATATCTTTTCATGTATGTACAATGTTATTTTTGATGACTAAATAGTATACCACGGCATGAGTGTATTTAATCTCATTGTCTAATGATCGACATGATGCTCTTTCTAGTATTTTCTTTTCAGGAGTTGTATTCCCTGAGCTGGGAAAGAAATGAGAAAATGCCTCTAGAGACATAGACTCTCAGGGTGGGACGAGAACTTGGTTTGGAAAACTTCAGCATAGTTCTTTTTGGTGCCATTTATAATCACCTCAATCTTTGGTGGTCAAACCTCTGTTTCACAGTGATGGGAAATTTGCTTTGTTAGGAAATCATTATAAAATATTTTCCTATGAAATGATCCAGAATATACTCTAGAACACAGGCATGCAGAGACAGATAGACTACATCTGGAATCATGGCTTCTCCATGCCCTAGTCCTGTGCCTTTTTGCAGAATACTTAATCTCTTTGGCTCTCAGTTTTATCCTCTGTAAAGTGAATAAAATAAGCAGAGGTACTTAGGGCAGTTGTTAGGGATATTAAATTAGACGAGGCATGTAGAGTACGTAGTAAAAGCTCAATAAAAATCAGTCAAGACTATGATAATATTTGGTCATTATCATAACGCAGAATGTATTTGGTCCCTGCTATTTGACACTCTGTGCCATTTAAAGGTACTGAGTGTGTTTTATCCCCTTCCTCAGTCTTCTCTTCTTGACCCTCTTTTTTTTTTTTTAAAGATTTATTTATATATGCATGCAAGAGCTGGGGTACAGGCCACAGATGTTGGGGGTGAGAGGATTCATCAGAGACAGAGTGGGGAGCAGAACAGGCAGATTGACGTAATACACTGCTGAAGGGAGCAGCAGGTGAGAGGTCTGCTGTTCCTTGTGGGTAGCTCCCTGGCCAGCCGGGGATCGAACTCATGCTGCAGAGGCTGCGGATTGCTTTGTAGTGCAGTTCTTAACCCCTTGCGCCACCAGGAAGGCCTACTTCTTGACTCTAGTTGTTCTTCAAATGATAGCAACGCATGTGCCTTTACTCCACTCAGCACTTTCGTCTCTCTCTCTCTCTCTCTCTCTCCTGAATATGTTTCCAGTATTACTCATTTGGAATAACTTTAGCTCTTGTCTTCATCTTCTTCACACTCCCCCTCCAACACTTCCCTAAGACAAAATCATAGCTTTTTGACATGATCTCCAGTGGGTCCTCCATTGACTGCACAGGAGTCTTCTGTTCCCAGAACCTCTACTGCTTTCCAGCCTCAGAAGACAGGAATGGAGGGACACTGTTGTGCTGATAAATTCTGTTTTAAAAGGGGTAGTAGATGTGAAATATGAACTATTTTGGCATTTGATATGTCTTGCTTCCCATATTCTTCTTAGAGGAGGGACTTTTATGTAATTATTAATATAAAAACATTCCTTGTGTGGAAATAACACACCATGAACTGCTTGAGATCAGGGACCTTATATCCTTACATTGTTCTCCCTGCCCCCTCCCTGCGCCTGTTGATGGATAGAGCTATTAATAGTCATTGTGTATTGGACACTTACGAGATGCCAACTACTGTATTAAGTGCTTTAAATGCATTATAATTCTTCCAGCAATGCTATGAAGGAAATAATTCTGTTCTCACTTTTAAGAGTTGAAGAACCTGGAACTCAGAGAGATTAGGCAACAGTACTCAAAGTCACGCTAGCTGATAACTTTTGCAATTTTAGCAGGTCAAAAAATAACAATATTTTCTTGCTCTCACAAACTCAGAACTAATTGATAGGCAGATGAGTCAAACAGATGAAGGTGAAAATATCACCTTTGGTACTGCAGAGCTGATTGAAAAGTTTGCTTATAGATTGTGGCTGACAGGGCTTATTGACACCTTTCCTCATGAGTTAAGAGTTTGGGAACACCCACTTGAGAGAAAATTAGGGATTGTAGAGCAGTTCACTGACTTACAATAATGTGGGGAAATGAGCGGGAAGGGGGGAAGAGAATGAGAATGAATGTGAACCCCCAGTTTGCATCCTTTGAAAAGGTTGGCTTTCCCAAATCATCAGGGGGGGATCCATGAGCCCCACTGATTCGAGTCATCTCTCTGTGAGTAGGATAGGAGAGACCGGGAGGTGCCTACAATGGAGTATTTTGACTTCCTTTCAGTATATCTTAGGAGAAACAATATTCTCCTTTGGTGTATTTTTCACGTATTGACATTTCTATGGAAAATTAAATATGAAGTATATATTTGGTTGGCACAATTCTGCTCTTGACATGACGGATAACTTTGTGTGTACCAGCACCTCGAGCTGGTCTGACAACTCAAGTAATTTGCTGTAAAAACATTAAGTGACCAAGAAGGTGGGCAGACCTTCCAGGTCTTCCCAGTCTGACCAGACACATCCAGCCTGTGGTCTGTCTCTTGCATTAGAATAAATCAGAGAGAATGGTGTCTTGCCTCAAATTAAATTCTCATCTTGGCCCAACTGTTTGAAAGGGCAACTGCTTTAAACCTTTGAACTTTATTTGTAATACAAAACTTCAATTAGATAAAGGACAATAATTAGCAGATCTTTTATCTTTGGGCATAATTAAATCTTTAGGAAGGGACGTTTTAATCAATACGTTGTAATGACAAGTTCATAAATTAATTAATCCCACCAATGGTGGCTTGGCAGTAATCAATGGATCTTTAAAGAGGTTCAGGGTGAGGGGACATGGCTGTGTGAACACAAAACACAAAACTCAGTGAGTTTGGTTTGGTATAAAGACTCTAATTTATTAAGGATTAGCTGGTTCAAAAGATTACCTATTTTTTGAAGGGAAAATCATTTAAAAATGTTAACTTTTAATGTGTAGAAAAAAACAATCTTCTTGCAAGTTTTTGTTTTCAGTGTCTCTCAGAGCTCTCAACTCATACCGTGGTGGCTAACACACATTTGCAATTCCTCTGTGTGTCAGTTTAGTGATTTGATAGCAAGCTTGAATCGGACAGGAAGGTTGACTACCATTACCTATTTAAATATTTTTTTCTAAAATGGGATTCAGCAAACTGACCCACTTGACAAATCTGGCCCACTGCCTGTTTTGTCAAAGTTTATTGAAACACATCTTTTTATAAGGTCACCTCATTGCATTGAAACCTTCTCCTAAATCCGGCTGACCTCTTCTCAAGATTTTTAATTATGTCTGCAAGTCCTAACTTGTTAATAAGGTCCCAATCATAGATACTGGAGGTTAGGATATGGACATAACTTTTAGTTGAATTCTAAGACAGTTCCACTCTACATCTAGATCACATTCATCATCTGCTTTTGAATTTAAGACCACTGCCTGCTTTTTTGGGCAGGAGATTGAAGACCCACAAGAGTGGAACGAGGGGTGGGCTGTTGGGGGCAGCTAAGACGTTGCTATGAACTTCCAGGTAGGAGATGACAGAAGCTCTCATTGTGGTAGCCATATGGTTAGCGGGTGTGTGTGTGTGTGTGTGGGTGGTTCTGGTCATGGGAGTAGCTTTGTTGGGACCTATCCATGGCCTGCAGCACCTTAATTAAAAATGTCTTTTGCAAGATTGGTTGATATTTTCTACCCTACTCTGAAAGAGTATGGAAAGAAAAGGGCTCAGAATATCAAGGAGATGCTACTTTGGGGAAGGGTCTGACCCAAGCACAAAGAAGTTGCTTAGTACACACTCAACATATGCCGGTGGAATAAATATCAGCTGCAGATTATTCCCAAAGCATTTTTTTCAGAGTGCGTGTTGACTTTGGGTGAGGATGTAGGTCTCCCCTGTTTAAGATGGTTTAAAAAAATAACAAACTCATTTGAAGGGGGCTCAGAGTTCCTTGGCAGGGAGGCATTGAACACTTGGAAATATTACTATTATTTCTGGAACCAAATTTAGCAAGGACGGTTCTGTCTTTAATTACTGGTTGATGCTGAGTTGTACAGGCAAATGATTACATGCACAATTAGTTGTTCCCACAAGTAGCCAATTATGGGAACGATTATTTAAGAAAATTGTGGCTCCTGCTAAAGGGACATTACATCCGTAGCCTCAAAATACATTTCTGTATAAAACTTCCTTTTATTGCGTGTATTACGATTTTTCTTATCTCCTGAGAGAAAGTGGCCCTTGTGGTCTCATTTGTGGGGAGAGAATTGTGGAAGCCTCAATCTTGGGGGCACAGAGAGACTTTGAAAAGAGTCGGGTTGAGAACTGGAAGTGCTTCCAGGACTAGTGTTGCTCTGGAAACCATGTCTTAACCAGATGGAATCTGGAGGGAGATTTAAGTCTCTGGGTAACTGATAACAGGATCCTCCAGTGGTGCCCTATAGCAGAGCTGTGTGTCACCATGAACTCTGTGCTTGTGCTCGTCAGTGCAGTTTTCACTGCCTCCTGATGAAGATCCTCCCGAGGCCACTTCTGTCACCTGAGCATCATATATCCCTCCACACAGCCTAGTTGTCATAAAAGCATAAGCTCTGAGCCAGAAGGTTTGTAGACATCCTCTGGTCCATCTGCTTCATTTCACAGATGTTGAAACTGAGGCCAGAGAGACAAAGGACCTCACCTGTGGTCATAAGTCCAGTTGAAATGTGACCTCAGCTGATTCCAAGGCCTCGGCTTTTTCCATCACACTATCCTGGCTGCCGAGGACACCAGCTATGGGGCAGTGCAACCATCTAAACATTGTAACTGTTGTCAAGGGCCAGCCAAATGTCCTCCATGGCTGGCACACACTGAGAACCATGCCAAGGTAGATGGGCAGTGGACCTTTTAGTTTAGACATCATATTTTATATCTGATGGAATTTGAAAAATGTGTTTATCTAAGATTGCTCTCTCCCTTTGAACATTCCTCATGATGTAAACTT